CCAGAGACAGAGCAGGGAGCAGAACAGACAGATCCATTGAAACCCACTGCTGAGGGGAGCTGCGGGGAGACAGCAGTCTGGGGTGCCCTGTGGTCACTCTCTGGCCGGGATCGAGCTCAGGCCGCAGGGCCTGGTGACTGCTTCACAGCACTGAGACTTAACCCCTGAGCCACTGGGAGCCCTGAGTTTAATATTGTTAAATTTCTGGTGCTCTCCTCCTCTTCTCTCCCTCCCCTCTCCTGTCTTCTTTGCAAACTTGTGTGCGCATGTAGAAGCTACACCTGTCCTTTGCACCACCTGCGAACAGCCACCACATGCGGGCAGCAGCTGTGAGCACAGGGCAGCCTCTGTCTCAGCAAAGGCAGCTTAGGAAGTAGCATCGCCCACATGATGGAAAACTCGGGGAACAGCCCAACACAGCTCAGCCCCTGGGTTTAAAACATGACTCTGGCTCAGAAAGTTCTCATTAATTTTATAAATGGAATATTTAGCATTAAAAAAAAACAAACAGGCCCTCCCTGGGGGCGCAGCAGGCTAAAGCCCAGCACTGAGAATCTAAAGCCGCTTCCGCATGAGTTCGATCCCCGCCCGCCCCGGAGGTGACCACAGGGCGCGGCAGACCTCTCCTGACCCGCCCGCTGCTCCCCTCAGCAGTGTGCTTCGTCCATCTGCCTGTTCTGCTCCCCGCTCTGTCTCTGGTGACGCCTCTCACCGCCCCTGAGCCTCTGGCCTGCACCCCAGTTCTGTGTGCACAAATAAATAAATCTTAAAAAAAAACAACAAAACTACAACAACAACAAATCGCTCCCCTACTTATTTCCCAACTCCCAAAGTGTGTTGGGATCCCCTGGTGGAATGTGGGCTCCCCTGAGGCAGGGAGGGCGGCTCTTGTCCTGGGTTCCCAGGCCTACGGAGACATCTGGGCCCCTGCAGCGGCCACTTTCACCCTGGGCAGAAGGACCTGAGCTGAAATGCTCCAGGGAGAAGAAAGGCAGCGGGCTCGGAGCTCTGGCCGCTCACGGCTGTCTTTGCGCTGAACAACTGGACCCAATCAGGTTCCCTTGAAGGCTGAGTTGGGGAGTCCCCACCCCCACCCAGCCTCATCTGTATGCAGGGGGTTCTGCCCCACAAACCCAGCAGAGTGGGGGCCCGGTGGACGGTGGCGGAGGATCACGGGCGCCGTGGCGGGGAGGTGCGGTCACTCCCATCTGGACACACGTGAGCCTGTCCCCCTCAATTGCACACGGAGCCGTAAACCAGCATTTACTAGTACCAACCGCTAAGAAATAACACAATTCAGAGAATGTGAGAAGACCAGAAGTGTCGTCTCCATGAGAAAAGTGAGGCGCCTGCCTGGGCCACGCCCATGCTGGCGCTGGGGGTTGGGACACGCCACTCCCACGACCCTGGCGCCTTTAGGTCTGTGGCCACCGGGGTGTCCCCACAGGCCCGCAATGGAGACAGACCGTAGAGGTAGCCAGCTGGGTGGGCACGAGCCCGAGGCTGCGGACTGCCAGGAGCTGAGCTGGCAGAGCCTCCCAGGCCCGGCTCGGCGCCCCCCGGCCCGTCTGGGGCTCCCACACCCCTCGCAGCTCCCACTCCTCGTCGCGTTACTCTTCCTCTTCCCAACTCCCAGACGGACCCGTGGGCTCGGCGACGTGCTCAAGTATACAAGTAGAAGGTGTCTTAGTTGCTAAATAAAGTTGCTAAGTTTGTGCTAGAAAATCCAGGAAACGGGCCTGCTTCCATCTCATCGCCCCGAAACTTCTTCAAGGAGAAGCTAATTCTTTATCGGCTTTATAGGGGCTAATTCTTTACCAGCCCCCTCATTCTAAAAGGATTTGAGACGGCCACCTCGCCTACAGTTATAAAAGTAAGCAGAAAATGAAATCAGGGGCAAAGAAAATCAACTAGAATAATAAAATGAGGCCAGATCAGAGTTTGCTAAAGTTCTACCCTGTTACGGATTCATCTTTGAGATTCCCAGCTGCCAAAGCGCAAAACAAGAAAAATGGAGGATTATGCAATTTTCCTTATTCATCAGCTAAAATCATCCTTTCAGTAGTTTTCTATTTCATTTTAAAATACATTTTTTTGGGCCCCTCCCTGGTGGTGCAGCAGGTTAAAGCACAGTACTAAGAAGCTAAAGCCACTTCGGCATGAGCTTGATCCCCGCCAGGGAGGTGACCCGCATGGCGCGGCAGACCTCTCCTGACCCCTCAGCGGTGTACTCCGTCAGTCGCCTGTTCTGCTCCCCACTCTGTGTCTGGTGAATCCTCTCACCGCCCCTGCACCTCTGGTCTGCACCCCAGCTCTGTGTGCATAAATAAATAAATCTATAAAAATCATATTTTTAATTCTAATTCTGGGATTACAATTTTTTATTTTTCTACACACACGTGTTCAGTCACCTGTCACCACCCACCCATGGCCACACCTCCCTCACCCCCTCTGTCCCTCCAGCCCCTCTATTCCCTCTGGCCAAACCAGTCACCTTTTCACTAAGTCCAACATTTGTTCCAGCTGTATTTTGCTAGTGTATGTTTCTTGGTTATTTTTACTCCACACGTCAGTGAAAGCCCCTGCCTACTTCTGACTCATTTCGCCCTGGGGTTCCCTCGCATGTCCCGAAGAGCACTATTCCATTTTTGTAAACAGCCGTGAGCACCCACTATGTATGCACCCCATGATTTCCTTACCCAGGCCGCTGCCGGTGGGGGCTTAGTGTGGCTCCATGACTTGGCTGGGGACAGCGCCGAGTGCTAAGACGTGATGTGCGAGAGTTTCCTAATTTTTGGATAAATACGTAGCGGGAGTCTGGCTGGCTCTTATGGGACGTCCAGTTTTGTTTTCGTAAAGAAACCCGCATTCCGCTGTCCACAGAGGCTGCCCGCCTTGCGGGGCAGGGTTCCTTGCCCCCATCCTCGCCAGTGTCTGCTGTTTCCATCTCCTTGATGCTGGTCGTCCTCGGAGCGAGGTGGGACCTCACTGTGGTTTTGATTCACCCTTGTGTAATTCGCGATGCTGAACAATTTCTCATGTATTGGGGAGCCGTGCGAACGTCTTCTAGAAAAATGTCTACTTAGGTTTTATGCCCATATTTGACTTGGGTGTTTGGTTTGATTTTGTCGTGGTTGCTGTTGGGTTGTATGCACATTTTGTGCATTCTGAAAGCTAGGCCTTGTCAGACATCCAAGTATCTTCTCCCCACTCTGCAGTTTCTGGGGTGCAAAAGCTCTTTAGTTTGACGTGGTTCCACTTGTCGAGTTTGCTTCTGTTTCCTGCAGCATTGGTGCCGTCTCCAAGATTGCAGAAGACGGCTGGAGGTGACCCCTATGTTTTCTTTTAAGCATTGTATGGTTGAGGTTCTTATATCCAAATCCTTATTGGATTTTGAATTAGTTTTTGTGTATGAAGTCTGGATCTACATTTTATTTTCTTTTTTGGATGAGGCTGTCCATGATCACCATTTGAAATGCATACAGACCCGGGGACACTGTGACTTCAACTCTGAGCCGGCCTCGGACTTCTGCCCGCTAGGATTGTAAAGCAGTGCTTTGCGCTGTGAGGTCACCAAGTTTGTGAGCATTTGTAGTAGCAACAATAGAAAACTACCTTGCGCCCCTGGCTTGTACCCCAGTTCTGTATTCATAAAATAATAAATCTTTAAAAAAATGCAGGGCACAGAAAAGGCCAAGCTGATCATCTCTGGTAAAAACGTACCTCCCTCCTTTGTTTTTTTTTTTTTTTTTTTAAAGATTTATTTATTTATTTGTGCATACAGAACTGGGATACAGGCCAGAGGCTTCACCAGAGACAGAGTGGGGAGCAGAACAGGCAGATCGACGAAGTACACTGCTGAGGGGAGCAGCGGGCGGGTCAGGAGAGGTCTGGCTCGCCATGTGGTCTCCTCCGGGGCAGGCGGGAATCGAACTCATGCGGAAGTGGCTTCAGATTCTCAATGCTGTGCTTTAACCCGCTGCGCCACCAGGGAGGGCCCCTCCTTTGTTTTATAACTAACTAAAGACCACTGCATTTATTGCCACATCAGAGGATGTGGTAGACAAAAGTGTATACAGGTTATATGTCACCCAAAACAAGTATCCTGATGGGTTGGTGGCCAGGTGATGGTGGACAGAACCCCACCCAAGTGCTCTGCGTGACCCGGACATTAGAATATCAGGATTCTGAAATTTCTATGATGTCCTAAAGCGATGTTACTTCAATAAAAAGAAGTTATTTTCCCCAAAATGCAATAAAATGTATCTGTCATCATCAATTTTAACTCTTACTCACAACATAGAGCAATAAAATCCTAAAACCAAAAATCAAATTCTGTCGAATAACTTGAAATTGTAGAACAACTTTACTATATACATATGACCAATAGATACATAAGCAGGTGGATTTTACTCATTGTGGGTGGCTTTGTTGAACAGTAAAAGTGTCCCTAGGAATCTGGAATAATTTTAATTAAAAAAACTTATCTTACTGTTCTGCTGTCATCATGATTTGCTTTCAACAAGGCTTGGTGAAATGCGAATCACTATATAAATGCAAACTACTATTATCTGTTGCTACTGATGTTGGCTTGGTAATTATTAATATTGGGTTTTACCTTACATTTAGTTTTAACAAGATTCAGGCCAATTTTTCTGCTTAGAAAGCTTCTCCAGCTTTATGTTGGAAAGCTGGGCAGTCAGTGGAGTTCCTAAGGCATTCCAAACTCCCTTTCAGGTGTGGTTGCTGAGAATTCTGCAGTTACCTCACATAGTGGGGGACACTTTTCCATTATTACCTTTATAAACTCAATCTGCAGGAACATAAACTTCAGCAAGAACTGGATTTAAAAGGAACTGGCAAGGGAAGTCTCCCGCGAGGACTCCCCGGTGACAAAGGGAGCCTTGGAAAGGATAATCTGAGGTAGACAATAAAACGGCGATGGGAACAGAAGGGGAGATAAATAGGAACAGGTGTCCCCAAGACACCTTAGACTCAGCCAGTCTGTGCACCATGCTAACTGTCCCCATTCTTCCAAACTTTGTGCACATCTTACTCATACAGACATTGCAATTTAAGTACCTGGACGTCTCTGGCAGATTAAACAGAGATGCAACAGAAAGTAGGTAAAGATTTCTTCAGTAAATGGATGCGTTCGGAAGAACACTGTGAAAACGCTACAATAATACCGCCCCAGCCAGGCACTGAATTTGAGAGATGATTTATTATAAAACCCAAGGAGGGAAACGATCAGATGTCAAACGTAGGGCAATGAATTCAGACTATCAGGAGGCAGTAAGAGGCGTGATTCCCAGGCCCTACATATTAAAATATTGGCAGAGACCTGGGGACCTACCTGGACGCCGTGCTTCTGAATATCTAGGCACTATTCATGTGATGGCCGTGATGTTGCAGTGCATATCTCTGCCCCAAAGCAGTGCGTCAGAAACAGTTTCTGTGTCAACCTGGAAGTAGGTGCTCTAGTTGTAGGTGCTAGCAAAGCTTTGCAGATTATTTGGCTAAGAATCCTCCTGGCTCTAATTGACAAAATGAAGACTGGAAGTCATGTTGGCACGCAGCGTGATGGCCTCCATGAGGATATGAGTAAGTGTACCAAGGTGTTAATTCTCTCTAGGATGGCCACCAGACAACAACCCCAGGGAGGCCAGCTGGAAGGTGGAGCCGGGGGGCTGCGTGCTAGGCTGTCGGGGGCCCCGGGTGTGGTTAAGCGACCACCCACACGCTGTGCAGCTGCAGGCGCTAAGGCTGCCCAGCCCTCCTCGGAGGATTCAGGCTTGTAACTGGCCCCACGTTTGGTTTCCACTGCGCATGACGGGGCAGGCAGGGAGTTGGAAACGGGAAATCGGGCTTCGCGGGCCTGCTGTCTCAGCTGCGCGGCGCCAAGCTGCACTGCGCGAGCACAACCCGCAGCCTACACACACCGCACGGCCCACGCACACCGCGGCCCACGCACACTGTGCGGCTCAGGCACACCGCGGCCCACGCACACCGCACGGCCCACGCACACCCCGCGCCCCAGGCACACCGTATCTGTCATCATCAATTTTAACTCTTACTCAC